ATATATATCTTTGATTTAACCAGGTAGATCTCCCTTAAATTTAGATTTTTATGGGAGACTTTAGTGTCCCTTAAAAAGGAGATTTTAAGGTCTAAATTTTTTTACCTATACATATTTATACATTCCACTTAATTAATATGTGATTTATGAATTTTCTATTATAAGTTTTATATCGTGATATTTATCGTTACCGCCACCCATCATAATGTATACCGTGAAATGAATTTTTTGCCATATCGCACATTCCTATCCGGCACTGAGATTTTCTGACCAAATACTTTTGGTCATTTCGAAAACCATGTTGAAGCTCAGAGATCAGGCTATTACAGCTGTGGCTTCTTARCTTTAGAACAATCTGCCCTCCAACATTAGACAGGATTCACCATTTCCTGTTTTTAAATCTCTCCTAAAAACACATCTCTTCTCACTGACTTTTCATCGAATGCTAGTTATTTTCATATTTTGTTGTACTTTGTTATTCGTTTATCTTCTTCTGATGCTTTTAAACCAATTCATTTTGTTCTTTTTATTTAATTTTCACCTTTTTTATTAGTGGTGTACTGATGGCAATTTTTTGTCCAATCACAGATCTTTAAAAAATCTGACCAGCCGGTTACGATTTTGGCTGATAACGATTTTTTTTAAAATAACTGACACTGTCAGGTGTTATAACGTCAGAATACACCTTCAATGTTCCAATCTAATTTTACTGAAAACCATTGAACAAAACCCTTGAAACTGTACAAACTTATTTTAACTGGACATTAGGTAGCTCACAGCTGATTTTCAGACATTGTGGAGGTAGATGAGAAGCGGATCTTTTTCACCGATCTTGTCTATCGGCTCATCTTCCGAAATTAAGGAACTCGGTACACCCCTACTTTTTATTGTTAAACGCTTCATTACCAACCTGTTGTCTTTCACTCGTGCTTTATAAATGAATTTGACTTGATTTAATAAAAATTTAACAATCACACTTGTGTATGCGCTGCTACCGCCCTTTCACTCGCACAGCGCGGACTCTTTTTCAAGCTCAAGATTGCCGGTGTGTTGCAACTGTGCTGATGGCGGAGATCAACCTAACGTTACAGAAAAACTGTTTATTTCTGAAAGTTCTGGATGTCCCATATTATCCCTGTGGCCCTACTTCTCACTAGGCTGTGTGCTCGCAGTATGCTCTGCTGTGGGGGAAGGCTTTAGCACAGCAGAGAAGGGTGCTTAGAAGTGATCTTCAAAGAAGTTCATTTAAATGGATGAGACCAAAATATAATTTTTTTTGACTATAACGCTCAGCTCTATATTTGGTAAAACAAACAAACAACAACAACAAAAAAACAACAACACACTAACATTTGTGTCTAGTTTTTGAGCACTAATATCTTTTGATGGTTTGGGTCTGTTCTGCAATTGTTGGACCTGGACACCCAGCAGTGCTTGGGTTGACCACAAACTCACTGGATATAATAATACAGTCAAATCTATTGTCAGTTTTATAGTCAAATGTGAGACCATCTGCCCGACAACTGAAGATTGGTAGAGAGTAATCTCTGAAATATGTTGTGCAACATGTCACGTTGTTGCATTTACCCACTTTAAGACTCGATAAGACCTGTTTTTAATTTTACCTGACAACACCTTTCTAAAATAATCCTCGTACTCATTTATTCAAGTTTTTTAAAAGTTCATCAGATGACATGTAGTGACAATTTCACTCAAAAAGGAAAAYGATGACCTAGGTTGAAAATGGTRTTATTAACSCTTTATCATGACCGTTTTGTCGACYTGAGGCTTGTATAAGGTTCACTCACATACAGTAATTTTTGTGTTTAATGCACTTGTTTATGATAATTGTGATGTGTAAAACACTTAATTGTAATTCTTTTGTTCAGCCTGTAAATGCAATGGCCATGCCAGCATGTGTAATCCCAACAATGGAAAGTGCTTCTGTACCACCAAGGGCATCAAAGGAGACAGATGTCACCTGTGAGTTTCACCTTCTGTCTTTCTCATATTTACTCTCTTCTCCCACATTTTATTTGCCTTTTCTTCTAGACTTGATCATTTTTTGCCTTACATTGTTGTAGAGCCTCAGTCATATGGGAAATGATCTTGGGTTTTGAAAATATTTGTCTTCCTCAAAGCCAACTCAAATGTTTGAATGTCTTCATGACTTTGCAGCCACTAGCTGTAATCTGCAGGTTTCCTCTTTGAAAAGAAAGTTGCCTCTTTTTCATTTTTTTCACACACCAAATGATTGAATCCTTCTAAATGAATCAATTATTTTAAAAACAAAGTGAAACCTGGAAGCCCACCCACTTGGTAACAATATGGATATAAAATAGACCCGACATATCCTGAAGTGTTTGGCACCTTGTAGCAGCAGCTGATAATTTCGCTGCACATCTCCTGTTATCACAGCTCTTCTTAAAAATCTGTTAAAACTCGAGCTTATGTTTGACAAATAAATCAGCAGCATGAAAATGAAGCAATTTTTGTCTAGTTTTTACCAGTGAGGCTCTCCTGTTGATTTATTTCATGCCTACTTTTGTCATTTTTCCTTTTTGTGTTTATTATCCTTATTTTTTGTTCCCTTTTTCTTTTTCATCCATTTCATTTCATTTTTGCCCCATTTCTTTTTTGCCTATTTCCTACCTGTCTTTCAGGTGTGAAGTGGAGAGTCGTTACCAAGGCAACCCCCTCAAAGGAACATGCTACTGTAAGTGGAAATCCAATTACTAACCTCACTCACAGTGCGTGCAGGTGATCAGCACTATGAAGGCTGACAGTAAATGCAAAGACGGCTGCGTGGCTCTACAATCAAAGCTCAGAGACAGCTCRTGTAAACAAGGAGCAGGTGCACAGGTTCTACTCAGAGACTTTCCTTTTTGTGGGTTTTGTCCCTTCGCTYCTGCAACAGTGTCAGTTTTTGCTGCAGAGGTACAGATAGTTTTATTCTGAATGCAAATGAAGGTGAATCAGAGGAGCTTGGAACAACACTCTTTTATCTGTTTCTAAATATTAAGTTTGATCAGGACAGATGATAGTCATTTATGTAAAAAAAAATGACTGAATTAATATTTTTTCTGCTGTGATTTTTTTTTCTAATCAGAACATGAAATTAGGCATATCACCTAAAACATGGAATCAGAAGTTTCCCCTATAGTGTAGATTTTACTCAGTGATTTTTATGGTTAAATGTAGATTTTTTCAGCAGAGTGTTACACTGTCAGATTTTGTTTAATTAGACTTTTAAGATTAGAAGAAATCAAGCTACATTACAGTACAACTCATGATTTTTTTTTCTTACCGGCAAATTCACAGGTGGATTAGGATTTATT